CCCAGACAGTCCTCAAGACCTCGCCCTCCAACCCCCCACCCTCCATAGACTTATCTGCATGCAGCTTCCAGAGCTGTTCCCACCACCCTGCCTGGCTGCATACCAGGAATGTGCATGTGTGCATGGAGATGCACATGATGCCCCCTGCCTCTAATTACCCCTCCCCCCTCCACTCCTCCCAGCCCCAAGCAGCTCCTTGGAAGTTCTGGGAAAAACTTTGATGCTGAGCATACCAAAATCCTGGACATTTGTTGGTATTTCAAAAAGCCACCCAGACAAAGATGGGAGGACCCAAAAAGAGGTCTTGGGAAAACCTGGGGAATATGGTAACCCTATTTTACTCCTCTACCCAAATATCTTTACAGGTCTCCTCTGGCCTATTTGTTTGGTTTCAAAACCAGAAAATATAGATATGATCATTTTAGCATGTGATAGATTTAAATTCATTCCACATGCTTAAATCATTTAGGTTCTGCGGTATATGATTTTACTACTGCAGAACTACTACCATGTGGAACATTATATCAGTAGATACAGCACAACACTGCACAGTAACATAGTGGAAATTCATATTCAAAGACATAAAGGAGTAATGGACCATGGGATGGGTGAGTAGGGCATGTGCCATGGTTGCTACCTAAGGGAAGAGAGGAGAGGTGCTCACCTCAAGGGTACTGCTTGCTGCTGCCTCTCTTATTACTGTTGCCTGCCAGCTGGCTGGTAACTATGCGTAGGGACAGAAATTACACATAAACCAGTATAAGTGACTGGAAACTGGTTCAAATCTATAACACAACAGAAGTTCAGTGCACATAAACCACCTTCAAAATGGCTGAAATGGGTTTAAGATAAATCTGGTTGGGTGTAGTATCAGACTTAACTGATTTAGGTTCAATCAGTTTATTGAACTTCTGTCCGAGATTCCTTTCAGATTCAAGTTAATTCATAGTCCCGCAACATCCCAGGATGCTTTTGTACCTCCCCATCAACTCCCCCTTCACAGGGTGGGT